GGGGGACAAGACCGAGAGACACAAGATGATAGATTGGGGTCTACGGGAGCCATGGTGGCTTGGTGCTCCCCGATTGGGTCTACCAAAGATAGTACATAACAAGATGGTCCCCTCAGCCAAAAAAATGTCCGCCGGAAGTCCGCTCTTTGCTTCAGATGGCGCTGCAGTCTGTTTTGAAGTTCTCTTTCGTTTCTCCAAAAGAAGAATAGGAATAGCACCTCCCTGCGTGCGCAGATCGACTGCTCTTCATCAGCTGTTCGGGTTCGTTCAGTGCGGAGTTTTAGGTTTTTAAAAATTTTAATGACCTCTCCCCTCTAATTCTAAAGTCAAATTAAACGAAGAAAGCAGTCGCCCTTTCCTCCGGAAGAGGTTTTTCGTCAATGTAACCATTTTTAAAAAGCGTTCTTCCGAAATTTGAATTCTTATTTATTTAAAAACGTGTTAGTTTCACTTAAATTTTTTTCGCACAAGTAGGGTAACTTTGTTCACAAAGGGTGCGCATTTGCGAAGACGGCGCTGCCGAATTTTGAGAACACTTTTTAAATTGCATCAAAGAGAGGAGTGGATCATGTTGTTATGTTAGAATCTTTGGGTCTACCTAGCTCCTTCCGGACGTGTCGCTGATACATCGGCTATGATAAGGTACCTCAGTTTTGTTTCGTTTTGACATGATCCATTATTTATAAGTACTTTTATTGTTATTAAAAACTTGGAAAGGGTTAAGAAAACAAAAACATCTAGTTTCACTTTTTCAGAGGGGTCGGTCTGACAAAAAACGAGTGAATTAGTTCTCGTGGTCTTGCATCAACAAAACGATTCACAACTCAAACAAAAATTGGAATATTGCATTCAAATAAAAAGCTGCACTTTCAGAAAGTTATGGCCTCTACTTCCGGCCTATATATGATAACATAGCTTTGATGATTCGCTTTCACATGTTTAGTGTGTGTAATTTTTTCAGTCAAAAAGTATTTTTCTCACTTCCAAAATAAATCCTTGTTGGAATGTATTCCTTATTCAATTTCCTGCAATTTGATATATCGTATGTTACGTTTTGAGTGATGGTTATGCCTATAGATATGAAGTTGTTTTGTGCATCACCTGTGTAGCCGAATTGAGTCTCATGCTAGAACCCAAAACAACTACATCAGGAAATAGCTAGACACTGTGATCAAAGAATAGGACCACTGTATCTGTACCGCACATGTCGTAGAAGGCGACTAAGGTCGATTGGGCAAAGGGTTAGCAGCCCTTTCCCGTAAAGGAATAGCAGCCCTTTCCCGTAAAGAGATAGCAGCCCTTTCCCGTAAAGAGATAGCAGCCCTTTCCCGTAAAGAGATAGCAGCCCTTTCCCGTAAAGA